TAAAAGAGTGATTGGCACATGGTAGCATTCAAAAAATGTTAGTTATTAAGTCACACTGTATTATTCTTTTAAAACTTTGGTTCCTACTAATCTTTCTAATATAAATTGAGTTTTCATACCTCTGTCCCCAATACACACACACACACACACACACACACACACACACACCCCTTCTCAAAAAGTGGGGGTTAGAAGCTCTAGTTTGCTGATACATCCAGGTAGTCAATTTGGGATCTGAAATATTGGAGAGTTGAAGAGGACTTTGACATCTTCTATCCCATGTGTTTTAACACTCAGTGCACATTAGAATCCCCTGAGGAGCTTCAACAATGCAATGCCCAGACTGCACCCAGACTGCTTAAATCAGAAACAAGCATCAGTACTGTTAAAGCTCCCCAGGGGATCCCACTGATCCCAATGTGTGGCCAAGGTTGAGACTCATGGTTTTGGTCCAGTCTTCCTGTTCCAAAGTGAGGCAATGGGCTCAGTAAGGGTCACCCAACCAGGATCAAGATCCAGGACCCCTGACCCCAGTTACCACTGATGGAGCCCACTGCTGCCTGGAGTTAGTTAGCCCTCTAGCAGAAGAGCTGGACGGGAGATTCCCTCCCAACTCAGGGCAGGAGACAGATGCCCTGCTCGGTGATTGGAAGAGTGTGACCTACTTAGGGATCCTGTCCTGTGCTGATTAAGGATCACCCAAACCCAGACCCAGTTTTCTCTTGGGAGACCACAGGGCAGCCAAGGACTTCTTAGTTCAGTCAATCGAGTCACCAGTCTCTGGGGAGCATGTGTTGGGTGGGCTAGAGAGAGCCCAGGGCTGAGCTGTGGGGAGCCCTGCGCTGCTCCTTTGTGGTTATGGGGCTTTGGATCCATCACTCATTTGAAGCTTATGGACCTCTTAGAAACTACGTGTCTTGAGGTCAATCCTATAGCTCCTTTTCCCAGCAGCTGCTGCCATAGTCATTTTGGGGGGAGGGAGGAGTAGGCTTGTCCCAGGGCTCAGTTGACCTCTTCTGTAAAGTGGGGGTAATAATCATAGGGGCCTTCCATGTCCACCTTGGAGGGTTATTGTGAGGGGCCTGAAGAGCCTAAATGAATTCGGAAAAGTGGAAAGCAGGTTCCATGGAGGACAAATGCAGGCCCACCCCTCCCCCCCTGTCACAGAAGACATGCATATAAGCGGAAATTTTCCTCCCAAATATTCCTCTCCTCTTCCCCCTCACTGAGTTCTAAGTTTCCAGCCCCTACTGGGAAGGTAGGGGAGGCGATCACTGTACTTCTGTGTAAACTGCTACTCCCATGACCGTGTTTGCCAGATGCTCCTGTGTGAGCCCTTTCCAGGGCATGACTGCCCCAGCGAGGGTCAGAGTGGACCGGGCACTGGGAGGTGGGGATGTGGAGGGAGGAAGCCCCAGAGCAGCCGCTTCCTCCCGCAAGGGAAGTCAAACTCTTCCTCTTGTACGTGTGTGGCTGGCTGCCTGGCCCCTGAGCTGGCAGCGCTGGTTTGGGGGGGGGCGGGGTGAGGGAGGGAGAGAGGGAGCAGGAAGCAGTCTTGCTCCCCAAGGCACAGGCAAGCTTGTTGTCTTAGGAGGTGGTTTTCTGGTTAGAGGCGGCAGTGGTTATGATTACCCCCCCCCCCCCCCCCCCCCCCCCCCCCCCCC